GCGCGGGGTGGACGGGGGACCCCCGCCGGATACCTTCCCTGACTCCCCTGCCCCATGCGTGCAGGGGACTCCACGCGGGCCTCCGGCTGGGGGCCGGGGGCTCCCACGCTAGCCTCTGTGAGGCATTCTATAGCGGCATTCCATAGAGTTCTGCACGTGGTGGATGGCCCAGTGGGTGGATGAGCGACCGTCTTGTAACGTGGTCTTGGAGGGGATTCTGCAAAAGCTTTCGGAGCCGGGTGTATTTTGGTCACCGCAAGAAAAATCACCGCTTTTTGGTGCTTGCCCCAGAGGCCATGGACCTTGCTCCAGGAACTGAAAATGCAGCCTCCTTCTGTTTTTAGCAGCTTGCCTCGAACGGGGGGTGGGGGGCGGGGGAGCCTTAATTTGTGGCGACCCTGAGGGAAGTGTCGCATCCAAATCTGGCCGACAGGCTGTTTCTTCTGCTGTCTCCCTCAGCGCCTCCCGCTCCCCGCCCCCCTGCTGCCTGAGCAGCCAGGCTGTCCCAGGAGAACTGTTGCCCACGGCTGTGCCCCCGCAGGTTAGGGTTTCAGCCGCCTTCCGATGCAAATGGCTGGCAGTCTCCCTGCCCGATTCCGAATGCTTGGGGAAGAGAAATGATGGGCACACTGGCGTCAGGTGTCCACCCAGTCTAATCACAGGGCCAGGTGGCTAGAGGCCGGACAGCAGCTCTAGGGGTGGGGAGCTTTGTGGGCTGGGCAGACCCCACCAGGTATCTATGATCTCTGTTTAAAATGATCATGTGTCCACCCAACATAGTCTGAATGAGCTGTGCCCACCTCGAGACTTGTTCAATTGGAATTATTTGTATAGCAGTGAGAGGTGCTGAGGGACATAAAAATAGAAGGCAAGCTTCCTGCTTTTCCAGAATTAATTATGTACTTGAAAAACAAGGAGCATCTCCAGAAGGGGTACCCTGGGGTCTTTTCTCATTTTCTGCCAGTCCTTCAAACCCTCCAGCCACCAACTCTTTCCTGGACAGCAGAGTGCACAGTTGCTCAGTTACACACAGGTGCAAACACGTGCATGTATACAGACACAGGTGCACGGGTATGTTCTACACAGACACACAGAGACACACATGCATGCAGCTTCAGCACAAGCAGTGTGACCCATGTACATGATGCCAGGCTGTGTAGACAGCGTTTCACTTTCTGTTGTGCTTGTATTCTCTTTCTGGCTGGCTGTGGCTTTAGTGAAGTGGGTCTGACTCACACCTAACTTAGTTCGTGTGAGTGTGCACGTGCACGCATGCATGCACACATGCTGGGGTCGCACGTGTGGGATTGGAGTAGTCATTTTCAGATGCAGGCGACATGAATCGTGCCACAGACTCTGGTAGGGCTCCCCGCACAGCTTCTCTGTGGGCATGCCCTCTGGTCTCAGTGAGGGGGGTGCAGTGAGCCCTGCCTGGTCCAACAGGGGCACGGTTTCCACCACGTCTTCCCCACCGGGCGGGTGCCTCTGGATTGAATGAAGGCTGAGAACAGTAAGTGTAGGGACAGCTTAGGGCTGTGACCAACTGGGGACATGGCCCCTGGCCGTCGCGGTCTGCCTTCTCAGCACACGTGGCACAGTCGGGCCACCGCGGTCCTGTTTTCTGTCCTCAGCGTGAAGAGTGCCCGGGCGCTGCGGGAGCTGCGGAGAAAGTGGCTGCGAGCCGCTGGCCTGGGCACCTGCGCTGCGCTAGCCGCTCTCCTGCTCTGGGGCATCCTGGGGGCCGATGACGGCGTCACCGAGGTCCTGGCTCACCGCGGCGAGGTCCTGCCCGGCAGGTTCATCGAGGTGCCCTGCTCCGAGGACTATGACAGTCACCGAAGGTTTGAAGGTACGGTGCCGCAGTGATCCAGTAAAGAACAGCACGTTCACATGAGATGCGGTGCATTCAAAATGCATGGCCGTTGCTACGGTGAACTGGTGGGATCAGGCCGAAAGTGGTGGAAGGGGTGGTGGATGACCTCCTCCTACCTGGGCGGGGAAGTGCAGGTGTTTCAGCCCGCTGGTCACCACCGAGGCCGTGGCCAGCGTTTCAGTGACGTGTCCCTCCCTGCGAGCGCCTTCTGGAGGTGGCGGTTTGTCTGGAGGGATGTAGCAGAGCTGGAAAGGGAGGGATGTGAAAGTTGAAACCAGAAAAGGCATTGGCTGTGAAGAGTGTCTTGGAGTGTTGTCACCGCGGAAAGTGTTCCAATAAGGAAGGTCACTCCCACGGTCCCTTCCCCCTCGTGGTCGCGGGTCCCATCCTGGCGCCCACCTCTGAGACTCAGGGCAGGAGGGCGTGGCCAACAGCCCTGTTAGGGCTGCCGGCTGGTCCCCAGAGGAGCCCAGAGCAGGGCCCGCGGAGGGCCAGCGGGTTTCAGCACCCTGGAGAGCGCATGCCCCTCGCGAGGAGTGCCGACAGGGCCACGTGAGACCCGCGCCCTCGGGCCTTCTTTGGCTGCTATATTTTCCTGCACGTTCGCTGCTGCCTAGATGCTTGCTCAGTCTGAAAAACCTAACCCTAGCGACTGGGTTTTACAGGCAGAATTCAGTTTTTTTTTTTTTTAATTCAGAGCAGCGCCTCGAACATGAACCAAGAGGACATTGCAAATTCTTCCACCAGGGGGCGCCGCTGTGACGCCCATGCCGGGGTCCAGAGCGAAGGAACGCGGTTCACTGGGCAGGGCCGCCCATTCGGATAGGGCTTCAGCCCCTAGCCCCCCGAAGTGTCCCGTGCTTGGACGCTGCCTCAGGCGGCTTTTCCCTCTAAAGTCCCAGAGTTCAGGACAATATTTTGCGGTGGTTAGAACTGAAGAGAGGTTTCTTTGCTTCAACGTCAAAAAGTCGGAATGCGGGAGGAGGGAAAGTTGGTGTTGCACGGGAACAGACTGAGTTTGGGGAGAGGACGGTTCTGGAGACGGTGGTGGTGATAGCCGCACCGCAGTGCGAAGGCACACAGTGCCCCTGAGCTGGGCTCTTCCAAACGGTTAAAGCAGCACATCTTGTATATTTTATCACAATAAAAAAAAGAGCCGCAGCATATTTTAAAGACTCTGTACTTCCCCTTCCTCGGTCCCCTGCGCCCTCAGGTGACAGAAGCAAGGAGGGGCTCTTCATGCGGGAGGGGCTTCCGGTTCCGGCAGGGCCCCGCCCACCCCGTGTGTCTGCCCGGAGCGTGCTTGTGGCGTGTACACTCACGCATGGGCGCTGACCCTTTGCGATTCACTTTCTCACCCAGGTTATGCTCTCGACTCGTATGTGCTGTAGCTGCTGTGTCGCTGCTGGATTTTAAAATTTCACAATCCCTGGCGCTTGGGTTCTTTTTTATTATTTATTTATTTGTGGTTGGTTCTTTTTTAAAAATTGATTTCTAACCCAATTACATTGGAGCTAGATAATATAATCTGTATGCTAGAGATCCCGCGATGTTGGTTCAGACTTTCTTTGTGGCCTAAGATGTGTTGGGTGATGTCTCACGTGTACCTGGAAAATAGTGTTTTCTAACAGTTGCAGGGAGAGGTCTAAATGTTTCTCGTAGTCCAAGCTCGTGTGTACAGAGCCTCTCGTCCTCATGGGTTTCCGTCCCCTCCCCGCTCAGCTACTGAGAGGCGCGTTAGAGGCTGCACTCCTGGCTGGTCTCCCGGTGCTGGCTGCCGCGAAGTCACGGGTTGCTCTGTGCTGCGCTTTATCTTCCTGGTCAATTGTCCCTTTGATCATGAAGCTGCCTCTCTTCCCTCTCCAACGGTCTTGTCCTACAGCACATCTGGTGGCCGTACACGTCGCTCCAGGCTTCCAGTTGTCATTGTGTTTGTCTTTATCCTCCACCTTCCTGCATCGTCCGGTTCGGGAAGTAACCTTTGTAAAAATCATGTATCTGGCTTCGTTTTTTAATGAAAACACCTGTATCAGCAGGGTTGCATTCAGCCCCATGGAACCGAGGCACCCCTCCCCCAACGGCCCCAAGTAGTTTATTTTCCCGCATGGCAAGGCGCACCTTGCCATCCTGGCCCCCCCTGAGCCCATGTGGGTCCGAGCCCCTCAGTGCTCCCACTCGGCACGTGACTCGTGTGGCCCCAGGATGCTCGCTCCACCTCCAGGCTTCGGGCACACGTTCTGGGCAGGAAGCGGGGCAGCAGGGTGGAAAGCTCCAGGCCAGCCAGCCCAGGGGTCCTGAGAGCGCCCCAAGGCTCCGTGTCATCGGCTGGGTTTATCCCACGCACAGCGCATGCGAGGGACCCAGCCTGCCCTTTCCGCCAAACGCAAGGAGCCTGCAGAGCTTGTCATCTCTGATGCTCCACCTCATCTTGGCCCTGGAGCTGCCCACCCAACCCTGGCCCTGTCCCCTCTGAGCTCTGAGCAGCTGCAGGTCCTGGGTGCAGAGTGACACAGCAGTGCAGGGCTCAGCGTGTGGGGAGCACGTGGTGACAGCGGCCGTGAGGCCCTGGGATAGGACAATAACTAGAATCCCAAGCACAGCTCTGGTCGTCCAGGAGGGACTTTCTGATGGCACTAGACCTGCAGCGGGCAGAGTGCCAGGTACTTCCCAAGGAACCGCCTGGTGCGGGCACCCGCCCAGTGACATGTTCACACATCCTGCAGGGACTCATACCGAAAGTCATCCTTGCTTATCTGAAATTCACATCTCACTGGGCATCCGCATGTTATTTGCTGAATCTGGCCCCTTCGAGTCTTGTGGAAGGCACGGCCCCATCTCACCGAGTCCTGGGGACGGCCGCCCACAGGTGGCCTTGTCGTCGGGGTTCGGCATGGGGTCAGCATCTCATCCTGGCTCCTCTCTCTCCAGGCTGCTCCCCTACCAAGTGTGGCCGGGGTGTCACCGACGCTGTCATCAGCAGGGACGAAGCCCGGCGCATCCGCAGGTATGACCACGCTTCTCCACATGAGCGGGAAAAGTGGGCCCGGGGTGGGGAGCAGAGGCTCACCACTAAAAAGACCATTTAAAGAGTTCATTTCCGATTTCATAAGAATTTCCTCGTGTGCTTCCAAGGGCAGGCATAGGCTTTTCCAATTTCCAGCAGGAAGAGCCGCTGCCCTGTGTGGCGTGGTTGCTCACAGAAGCCTCCAGAAGCCCCCTCTCTCCAGGGGAAGTGGTTCTGACCCACTCAGAGGCTGGGATTGGGGGTGCCGCTCCCATCAGCTCCTGGGGGAGCCCCAACAGGAGCCTGCTGTTCACCCACAGCAGACGGCCAGCAGGTAGTAGTTCCGTCTCCCCCAGAACTGGTGGGGCGTTAGCCTTCCGGCCGACCAGCTCTGGCTGATGTGGAGCGTCTTATTGAGAAGCAACTGGATTTCTCCTTGTTGAGGTTTTAAAAACAAGACCTTAAAGCTTAGACGTCTGGCACGCTGTTCAGACACAAAACATCTTTGGAAGTGAGCGCCAGGTGGACCTGTGTCTGGCCCTCGAGCAGCCGTTGACGCTGCTGACTCTGCCACGTGCCGAGCGCCCCATGAAGGCCGCCGCCCGTTTCCAGACGGCATGATGGGGCTCGCTGGGCAGAGTCACGGCATTGGGAGTTTGAGAAGTCGAGTCCCGCGGTCTAGACGTGTGCTCACACCGCGAGCGCTAACCAGCTGTTCACGGCGCATCGATCGCGAGAGACGACTTCGTGGATCTGACAGGTTGTCTCCCCCACAGCATAGCGGAGAAGGGGCTCTCCTTGGGAGGATCCGATGGAGGGGTGAGTGGCTCCCGCTTCTTTTTGCCCCGCTAAGTCTGCCGGCCCCCAAGAGGGAGGGGCAGGCACTGGATATCCAGGGCCCCCCAGTGTCCTCACCACAGACGCAGACAGGCCCAGGATTCCTGTGGCACTGCCTGCAGCCGCTCGGCGGGGATGAGCGCCCCCTATCCCCAGGCGCGTCACGGCCACCTGCTGCAGACCACGCGTGCATTTCATTTCAGGCAGCTGGACTGGGGCAGGCGGGGAGCTGACCGGCAAGCCCGTGGTGGGAGCCGAGTGAGGAGGGTGACAGCCCTGGAAACGGGAGGGACTGTGGGGAACAGTGGCCAAACGCTGGCTGGCGCTCCTTGCCCTCCTGGCCGGAGGCCCCCAGACCCGGTGTGGGCACTGCCACCCACTGTGGCCCCTGAAAGGCGCGTCTAGCCAGAACCTGTGAACGGACCCTTATTAGGGTCAGGGTCTTTGCGGATGTCACTGAGTGACGGCTCTCTCGACTAGGTCATCCCGGCTCACCTAAACCTCTGACAGGTCTCCTTGTAAGGGGAAGGCAGAGGGAGACCGAGCTGGGGGGGTGGGGGGTGGGGAGGAGAAGCCGTGACGACAGAGGCCGTGACGACAGAGGCCGAGGCGCACCCGCCGACCAAGGCCGCGGGCCGCAGCCGGAGACCCGCGGCTTTATTGTGCAGTCTTTTCTCTTGAGCTCTGAACATCAAGGGGCTTCTTTCGTCACGGTTCGGCTCGGTTCAGGGGGAGTAGCTGTTGAAAACTTTTCGAGTGCGGACTCAGTTCTGCTCTTTGCGCAGCGCTCATGGGAAGTTGTCCTGCGGAAACTAACCAGGTTTGATACCTTTCAGTCCAGTTAACGTTTTCAAAGCCCAGATTATGGTCAAACGAACCACTGGGCTGGTCACTGCATCAATGAGAAAAGCCACAGACACGCCCCAGACTGGTGGCCACGTCCCCTCCCGGGACGTGGCGGACCCACAGAGGCAGGTGGGCGGTGGCGGGACACACACTGACGGCTCATTAAAAAGTGACGATCCAGCGATTCCACTCGCAGGCGTTTACCCGGCTGTCCACACAGACTCGCCCGCCTGCAGGCAAACGGGGGGACTCACTGGCTCACCCCGACACTGGGGTGCTGCGGGCAGGCAGGAGGAAAGGTCCGTCGATCCACAAACACGGTGAACAGACTGCAGGGTGGCTGCGTCACATGAGAGCCAGACCATAACGGGTGCATCGGGCACGATGCCACTTCCCCGGGGTTCTAGAAAGTGCCCATCAGCCCATCATGGCGGAAAGCACACCACTGCCTGGGCTGGGACGCCGTCGGGGTTACACGGGGGCACGAGGGAATTCGGGGGTGACGGGCATGTTTGTTGTTGGTGCTGGTGGTTTTGTGGGTACATCTTGATGCCAAAACTTAATGAACTGTACAACTCAAACCCCAGGAGACTGTTCTCCGCTGGTTTGACCTGGACAGAGGCACAGGGAGGAGGCTCAGGGACTGTGTTTGGCGTCAGGCGTCCGGGCTCTTTCGTGCGGGGTGGGTGGACTGTTTGCAGGATTAGACCAGAGTCTGCTCCTCTGGCAGCAGAGACCCAGACCGTCCCACGTGCCCTGCCGGCTTCCTTGGGTCCCAGGGAGCCGCCTCTTGTGGACCTGGGGAGCGCGTGGGCAGGTCTCAGACTGCGGCGGATGGCGCCCCCTCCAGTCTCCACCACGTGGCCTCACGCTCGGCTCTGCCAACGTGTTTCACAGGCGTCCATCCTGGACTTGCACTCCGGGGCCCTGTCTGTCGGGAAGCACTTCGTGAACCTGTACAGGTGAGAATCCCAGGGGCGGCGGGCCCGGCGGCTGGGCCTGAGTGGGCTGTGTGCGTCTCCTCATCTCCTGACCGAGGCCTGAGTGAGGCAGGCACGTTGGATCAGAGCAGCTTCACGCGTCCCGTGGACTGGGACCTGGACCGGCCGGGCGGGCGGAGGCTGTGGCCTCCTCAGCGGGAAGGGACTTTGCTCACCGAGCATCAAGCATCCAGCATCAGGGACCAGCCTAGTGCTACATCGGGGCTCCTAGGGAACCCAGGACCTGCCCGAGGCCGAGGAACAGGGGCCTGGGGGTGCGGGGAGGGGCCGGGGACCCCCTGAGCCGAAGCGAGCCTGAGGGCCGGGAGGGGCCGGATGCCATCAGCTGTTCAGGGCCAGCTATTTTCAGGGACTTGTGGGTTAGCTGGAAAAAATACTGAATTTAAAGGAAAAATAAATAAAGCGTTACATTTGTTAACACTCTTTACTTTTTCACAGGTACTTTGGGGATAAAATAGAAAACATCTTCTCAGAAGAGGACTTCCAGCTGTGC